ACACCTCTACAGCAGGCGCGCGGAAGTGGTTGCGAGGCGTGTGTATGTTAGCACCCGACTCTTTAGGCGAATACGTATATTCACCCGTGCACGTCAACCGTCCACCCACGGTGCGCCAACCGCGAATGCCGTAGCTACAGCCGTACTACAGCTTTCTTCTCTGAAGAAAGCTGGTACTTTTTCTCACTAAAATGTTGAGTCTCGTTTAAATTTCTTTAACCTGCTTATAAGGCTCAATTTTAAACAAACATATAGCAGTGTGGCCCCGTTTCCTTTGATAAATGAAGTTATGTAAACTGGCATGCAACGCAGCTGCACATATTAAAAATCGTGTCCCATACTAGCAGGTTAATAGTTTAAAGTGCGCCAACTGAACTTTTAACACCGGACAAGCACTTCCAAGGGTTCAACTTTGGGGTTTAACGCTTCTAAACATTCCAATTTTCAGTCAAACATCGTCAAATGTGGTGCATGGTTTAACACTATGTACACTATAGGTATACACGCCAGTTGAACGCTTACGATCAAGATCAGTATAAGCCGACAGACGGTGCCTCGACCCGTGAGACAGAGTTGGCGCAGAGTCCTGGGCTCCAGAGGACTCCAGAGTACTCCTGAGTGAGACAGATACGAGTGCCGTTTGTAAATTGGCTGGGTGACTGGTCGGGGCAGCCAGGGGGCGCGGTGGGTGCGGGAGAGGGGAGGGGGCCGGGGAGTGGCCCTCGCGGCTGCTGCGTGTTTGACCAACTTTGAATCGGCAATCAGTTTAATTGTGCCCCGAGGAAACTACGCGTTTGTTGCGGTCCCGCTGATTTGACGCAAATTACGCCCCCTCCCACCCCCTCCTCCACTCGCCTTTTCCCTCGATCCACCCTTTCCTCTACAGCTGCTCTTTTTATTTTATTTGCAAACGAGACGACAAACACGGGTTAATTACGCGAAACTATCAGTCGTCGACGCGTTCTTGCGATTTTCCCACTGAAACGACGTGACTACGGAAAAAAAGGGTGCGAGCGGGGTGAAGCAGGAAAATAAAGTGAGTGGGTGTGTGAGAGAGAGAGGGGGGGGGGCGAGAGAGAGATAAAGAGAGAGAGCGAGCGCGCAAAAGAGAGCGCCGGTGCGCGTGCGAAGTTAGTTTCTTCGTGCCCGACGTGCCTCCGCGGTCTGGTCCGCAAACTTTGCCACCGCCAGCCTGGCCCTGGCCCGGCCGCACGCCGCCAGTGCACCGCGCACCACCTCGCGCCCACCGCAGTCCCGGGGCAATAAAAGACGCGCGTCATCAGCGAGTGCGCGAATTTGCACGTGCACTGCCTAATTACTTGATACGATAATTCACACAATTGTGCACGCACCTCTCGCGCGCCTCCTCCTTTCCCCCTTTCACTCTCTTTGCCTCTCTCTCTCTCTCTCCCTACCCCCGTTCCCCCTCCCCTCTCTCCCGGTCAGAGATAATGAGTTTTAAATTGCCCGCGCGTGGTGATAAAGGTAATTATCCGAATGGTTTTTGTTCGCGGGACGAGGAGCGCATGCGGAGCTCTTAATTCACGTCGCGCACCTCACTCTGGGAAAGGACGCTTCCGCCAGAGATATTTTCTCTGTGATTCGTCCTCGCTAAACGACGTTCGAATAGCCCGCCACTGACACGTGCACAAATTTTACGCGCCAAGCCCTTTGGAATTCGAGAAATAACCTTTGTATGTAGCTTTCGTAACACTAGAAAGGCTGAAAAAAATCTCGCGCGCTCTGCGACGAAATATAAAACTTAAAAAAATGCCCTGTTTTATTTTCAGAGTATACGAAATGATGTTCTAACCGCGCGCCCTATTTCAGACTGTGGCCGTCCTACGCATCGGCCCACAACAACCTGGGCACGCTGGCGCCCTCTGCCGACGAGGCGGAGAGGTTCTTCCTCTCTGCGATCCACTTCCAGCCTGCGCACGTCAACGCCCACTACAACCTGGGACACGTGTACAAGTGAGTACCAATCGGATCAATCCTAAAGTAATTCAAAGTTTGATGTTTACCGTGAAGTCCCAGGCGAGGTCCTACATTTCACTAACTGTCCTCGTGAATCTACAGCATTTGGTGTAATTTTCATCTTCAAATAAATATGTAGCACATTTGAGATAGTCCATTCTTGTTTGCAGATCAATTCTCACTCAATACAAAGTGCTTTTACATTTACAATTTCAAAT